GGGTCTATAATGCAACCCATTTTGAAAGTTGATAGTCGACATAACCTTCCTCGACCTTACCTTCTTCCAGTCCTTCAGGACAAATCGTTGCACAAACTCCATTAGCTGGTTTATAGACGTCTTTACCCCCTCGTAGTGCTGACATCCTGCAAAACAAATCAACATCAATATCTCTCTGATCTACTACAATTTTTTCAATCGAGGCCAGGTTGCACAGGGAGAAAATTCGATCGGCACTGTTCGGCCTAGGATGGCATTTTGCACTTTCTCTGATTCCTTTCGCTGGTTCTTGTTAACTATCAGATATCGTTTTGGTGAAACCTGTGAGCTCTTGTGAACCTACGAAATGATGAAACTGTGCCATACTTTCTACATGACTTTACAGGTAGACCTGTACAGGCTCCGCTAAGACCATGTTGTACCCCCACTAAACCAAACAGCACTAACTGTTCTTTGTACTTCGATAGAATAACAAACAACACGTCACGCTGGTTCCTAAGGAAAAAATGATTCCAAAGATAGCGCTTGTTGCTCCCAACTGATAAAATTTGCAAGGGTATTATCCCTCCAGTTATTATTAGTCCTGCACAACAACACGTGACAGCATACTGTTCAAATCAGACAAAGCACACTTACGAATCGCATTCCGCTTCCGTGATGCATCGACGGTTTAGGTACACGAACAGATTCGCTGGACATTTCTCGACGCATGCACCCTACAAACGACTACTTGTTTTGTATTGTATGAATAAAAATAATACATAATAATAACAGTAATGATAATGATAGTAAGGGGGGAGTAGCACTGAGAAGAGGAAAAGAAGAATGGTAGAGGGCGTGTACGCTTTCAACTACTACCAACATTGTGGACAAAAGACGGAAAAAGGGTGTATTCTAAGAGCTAAACCAAACTTGCTTGTTGTTGTCGTGTTACTAAAGGTTATGAATTAAAGAGACAAAGAGACACACGGAAGGACAGACAGACCGTCTGACTTACAGAGACAGATAGACAGAGAGAGAAAGAGAGAGAGACGACATACAGGCATGGAAGAAGAACAAGAGGAAGAGGGAAGAAAGAACAGAAAGACAGGCAGGCAGATACACAGGCAGACAGAGGAGGAGGAGAGGAGGAGGAGGGGTGAGGGTGAGGATGAGGATGAGGTGGTGGTGGGTGGCGGGGTAAGAAGGGATGGTGGTGGGTGGTGGGTGAAGCCAGAAGAAGAAGAGAAAGAAGAAATTACAAAAAGAAAGAAAGGAGGAAATAAATCTCAACCCCACGGTCTGTGATTGTAATGCAAACATCCGTAGCATGCTGTGTCATCATCCGGTACCGTACATCCGGCTACACACTGTCGGTGACATTTTGCACCGTTAGAATCTGCGCATCCGGGTCCCACAGTGCCATTAATACGATCGTATGGGCAGTCTGTAGAAAAGCATACGGATAATGATAAATCAGAGCAGAACTCGAATGGAAGACCATGGCTTTTCTGAGCGCTTCACAACAGCCTAATGTTCTCGAAAGGAAAAAAAACTGAATAGGTAAGTTACCCTCTTGACAGGTTGTCTTATTCCAACATGATAACTGCTCTCCCCTTGCGTGTACCACACGTCGACATTTGGACTCGTCTTCGACATCACAGTCATCAGTACAAGATACTGAAATGCGAAGGCAATCTTTATCCAACCGAGAAGCCAAAAAACTACCAAAGTAAAAAAAAGGATTTGAAATAAGCTCATCAAGTAATGTTAAACGAGATGAAGCAATTAAAGTATGTATTCTATGAGTCTGCAACTTCTCTCTGGAAGATGGCCAAGACAATGGTAATTTTCCGCTCTATCACGTGCGGCCATGAACCAGTTTTCTGAATACATTAGCCTGTTGTCTGGAGCACCGGATTTCATGAAGACTGTGAGATCGCGGGCATTTAGGGCTATTTTTGGCTATCGTTCATTGTCGCTATCTACAACCCAGATCTTTCTTCCAACGTTCTGAACTTGGTCCAGGTCTGGAGCTTTGAAGCTGGAGTCCAAACTAACAATCGAAAATGATGGAATCAGGTCTGCTCTGGTCACCACTACAAAGGTAACTTTGTTCCGCTCAGGTGGCCTCAGGTGGTCTACCCCAAATATTCTTGAACCATGTGTAATCTTTTGATGAAGACGATCCGGACGAGCTCTCTACCAGAAATACAATGTTCTGACACCGGTTAAGTACGCAAAAAGGTTCCCGATAAGTTCTTAATAGATACTGAAAATAAAAATCCCTGAAATAGGAAAATTGACTCCCCGTTCTAAGTTGAAGCGCATTAATTGCCCTTATTTCCTGTGGTCGTCTACGCCCTCTCACCGAACGGTGATTAAGCACGCTCATAGCTTCGCACATATAAATAGTTTGACCGTGGTCGGCAGGCCACCCATTTCTCACACCCGGAAGTTTGTCTTCTCTTTGATTTGTAAATCTATCGCTTCGCACTGTCAGCAATTGAGCCAACAGTTGTTCTTCAACCGCATTGCGCCCTGGCCTAGGGGGGTGCAAGCCTGCCCTGAA